CTTGAAACAGGGGGCTCTTCCACATAGTCATATATCCCAGAATATCAAGGCAGGAAATCCCACAATATCTGCTTTGAACTGGGTTATCTGAGTTCACACTCAGATAATGTGGGATTTTCTGCCTTGATATTCTGGGATATTGGGCTTCGTAGAAGGGCCCAGGGAAGAGGAAATCAGGAGTCCATTTTGCTCTATGATGATTTCCCATACAAGATATTTCAGTCCCATAGGGGAAAGTCATGCCCTATAGGTCATTGAAAATTGTATATACATATGAGTACTACATAAATATCTCTTGGTTTTGAGATTGAAATGTATATATCGCAAAGGCCTGAATTGTCTATTAGGATGACAGCAGGTTTGTTGTTGTTATTTGCATTTTTGACAGGTAGATCTGTCAAGCACACTTCCTGTTTCCATCAGCAATGCCATTCTCTGTCAAAAATAAATAAAATCTGTTATGTGTAGATTTTTTGCTTGCTTGTTGTTATGTGTGATTTTTGTGCAAATATTTCTCCTGGATGCAGCAAAGGACACATTCTCCCATTTACTAAAGCCAATTTAGGTGCATTTTAGAAATATAGGGTTTTTATCTGCATGCATTTTTCCAAATATGTTTATCCTGCTACATGCATCTCTATTTACAAAACCTGTCATAAACCTGGGAACAGATAGACATAATCAGAAATTGTGTCAAGTTCTGGCAGAGATCCCGTTTTGAAACTATATAATGAAAGACAGAAAGGAGACTTTTTATAGTAATCATCAGAAGAGTGCTCCAAGCAGCCTATTTCTTCAGTCACATTTTTTTGGGGCAAGGATTTTAGTTTCCACCATCCCATAGATTCCAAATGTTTTCACTGGAAAAAGAGGTTTCTTGTGATTTTGCAATTTGTTGAAATTGAATTTTCTACTTGTTGATATGTTTTATTTTAACTGACCATTTGTCAAAGTTAATATGTACTGTTTAATTGATATGGGAAAAATAAGAAAGATTATACCTTTAGGACAACATGGTATGCATGCATTCAGCAAGCAAATATAGACACAGATCAATTCATACCATTCATCCTTGGCTAAATCCACCACCACCACCCACCTCCCACTGCCAAATAGATAGATATAGCTGTAATGAGAATTATAGCTAGAGAAAGAATAAGATTTGGAAAGCAGGAAATTAGTAACTATAATGCAGGGGTCCCCAAACTAAGGCACACAGGCCGGATGTGGCCCTCCAAGGATATTTACCCAGACCCCTGCCCTAAAGTTTAGACTTAGGGTCATCCTAAATCTGAAACAACTTGAAGGTACACAACAACAATCCTAATTAACTCGACTATCTCATCAGCCAAAAGCAGGCCCACACTTCCCATGGAAATACTGGTACGTTTGTGTTAGTTAAAATTGTTTTTCATTTTAAATATTGTATTGTTCTTTCATGTTTTTTGCACTTCAGATAAAATATGCACAATGTGCATAAGAATTCGTTCATTTTTTTTTTCAAACTATAGTTTGGCTCCCCGATAGTCTGAGGTACCGTGAACTGGCCCTCTGTTTAAAACATTTGAGGAGCCCTGCTATAATGACTGGTATATTTGACACATGGAAGTTAACAGCAAGAAATATTTGATGCAGTGGTTTAAACTGCTGTGCTGCTGAACTTGCTGATTGAAAGGTGGGTGGTTCGAAATATATTTTAATTTAGTATTAAGAAGGCTTTGCATATCTCTCATATTCAATGAAAAATATATTTGATTATTGGGTATTTTATTGTTGCTTCACCTGCTTTATTTTTAGGGTTGGAGAAGAAAATATCTGTAGACCATGATGACTTGGGCCACACATAAAACAATCCTATAATAAATTGACCATAGTGACTAAGATATTCTGCTCCAGAAAAGGTTACTGTTTTCATCTCTAGTTTGGGCAAAAAAATGCTGTTTCTATAGTTTTCCACTTTAAATTTTAGCTTCCAGATTTGGGGAGCTTTACCTCGACAAAGCTTTAAAAATGCCAGAACGAGAGCAATATAAAAGTTGCTTTGTCCATAGGCATTGATGTCACCAGCAGGCTATTTCAAGCACTGAAAAACTTTTATTGTGTTTTATTGTGTTATCATCAACAATTCTGTCCACATTTAGAGATATACTTCACATTATATCATGGAAGACTGGAAATCTGTTTTCAATCAGTGCTGGTATACACGGTCTGAATCTTTTGATAAATTCTAATCTTGATCCCATCAGAAAACCTTAATCCTGGTCTATAGATGGTTTCCTTAAGAGCGAGAAGTGCCTGCCTTATCTCTCTTCCTTTTGCTTTACTTCAGCTCACTCAGGCAGCCAAAAGGCAGCAAATGCACACTCCAGAAGAAGGATGATTGTTTTGACATGGTATTGGATACCAGAAGAAGAAAAATTCAAATAACTCTGAAATATCTTGCTGTAAAAATTCTTCTAATCTTTTGACACAGAATTTAAGCAATGCAAAGTATACATGTTCCTATATTGCCTATAAAAAGATGTAATTCACACATGCAAATGCAACTCAGAAGGGATAGTTTTATAAGCACTTGCATGTTGATATGGGAAGGAGTTCAAAGGAGGGATGGGAGGGGATGACACACAGAGGAAAAGACCACTCTTGGCTTATGGCTTTGCTCACCAGTACCCTTTCATTTCTTTATTTATTTACAGTATTTACATACTGCCTTTCTCACCCCTGGGGGGACTCATGTTACACAACTCTGATGCTATATACTATTTTAATTGCCATAATAACAGCTATTTAGAATTATCTGCCAAAGAGCTCTACCGCCTTAGCAGAGTTCCATATAATGTTGCCATAGCATTCTAATTGTGTAGAATGAAAGGGTCCCTGGTCTTCAGCCCTGTCAATAATCAGTTGACAATAATGCTGGCAATGTCCCCAATACCATTGAGAGCCTTTATAGGTTTATCACCTTGGTTAAACAAATGGTCTGAAATTGAGTAAGGATTTCTAATGTCTACCTGTTTGTTCAACTGTAAGTAAAAAAAACCCACAAGGAATAGGCATTTGTAGTAAGACGACTCAGAGCAGATCTTAATGGAACATAGGAACTGGGTGCTGCCCTCATGAAAACTAGTTACTGGTCTTAGGATTCTATACATTCAATGGTATTCACATGAATCATTCAGATCTTTAAAACTTGACTAGCTTTTTAATGGTACCAAAAGCAATGCCATCTGAGATAAAGAGTCTGATCACAAACAACGCTTCAGGTAAAAGAGGATTAATTTGTGACAAAGCAGGAAAACCCTACTTTCTCCTGGATTAATCAAATACCCCATTAGACCCGGGCCTTCCCAGGTAATCTTGGGGGCCAGTCCCCACACCCACCTTGCTAGAAATGATGCACACCATTTCTACATGCCAGGAGGCCTGCTGGAGAAGCCTCATGGCACCTGGTAAGTTTTATTTTTCTTTTAAGGGCTTTTGGAGAGGAGGGTTTCAGTATCCCCATGCCCTCTTGGAAATAACTGGGAGGGCATGTGGACACCCAACGGGGAAAGCCCTTTTTGGCAGGGGAGTTGTGGGGACAGAAATGTGCACCAATGCAGGTTTTAAAAACCTGCTTTGGCACGCATTTCTGTTATGTCTGGTTGTGCCCAATGATTCTGTGAACGAGAGTCTCCTTAGTCCCTGTTAAGCACTCTAACCATTACACCACACTGGAAGTACTGTAAATGTGCTCTGAGCACTAAATTAAAATATAAATTGAACTCTTCACATAACCTGAGAGAGCTGTCCCAAAGCGGAGAGTAAAGGATTGTTCTCTGCTGCCACAAAACCAAATATAATGGTTATAAATTACAGGAGGATAGACTTCTATTGAACATTAGAAGGAGCTACTTGACAGAAAGAGCAGCTCACCAATGGAACCAATTGCCTAGAAAGATGGGACATCAAAAAGAGGATGGAGAGCTACCTACCTATAGGTAAAGCTCTAGCTGGATTTCATGCCCTGAGCAGTGGGGGGCTCTTAAAACTCTGTGTTTCTCCTTATCTCATTTAAATGTTAGCTTAGTGCTTCTGTTGGTTTTGTGTGGTGTTTTTATGCTCTTGTTTCTGCTATTGATGTTTAAGCTAGTATTTTGTTCTTATTATTGCCCTTTTCCACCATGATACCACTATACCAATGAAGGCTGTGTAATACTTACAGTGAAATAAATAGAAATCTTGAAGCTGGCATAAAATATTATAAATATTGACAACTTTTCATATAGTAATCATTTGGTCTCCATGTGAGGCCTTTGAGTCTGGCAAGCAAGTCTCTTTATTAGCCATTAGGAATCAAGTGTTTACCAGGAAATATACCTGGAAACAAAGAGTGTAGAAGAAAACATGCTAAAATGTAACACCCTATTATTAATAGGAGTATTTAAATTCCCTAGATTTTAGTAAGGAATTTACTAGCTCATTTCTTGTGAAACAAAGTAAAATCACTTTGTCTGATTCTCCAGTGCCACCTATTGGCAAAGTATAAAGCTAGGATGACTATTTTTGTTTTAAGCAATGGATAGAATATAACTTGCAGGGATGGCTTTGCTGATTGTATCAAATCCACTTCATCACATTCTTGTCATCATCCATTCATATTTGCCCATTCATTTTAGGATAGCTATGACCGAAATGTTTTTGTTTTTTTTCCCATCATGCTTCCAGATTATAGATCATGCAAATTATGTGTCTGTTTTCAATGTACACTATATCTATAGTAGAGTCCTGCTTATCTGACATAAATGGGCCGGCAGGATGTTGGATAAATGAAAATGTCAGATAATACAAAGGCTTCTGGGAGCTGAAGTCCATATTTCTATCCTGGCAGAGATCAGTGGTGAATGAGTTCTGCTTCCATTTGGTTTTCCAAACATAAGGAGAGATCTCACTCACCACTGATGGAAAAAGGAGCAACAAACAAGGAATTGTAATGAAAAGGTAGATGATAGTACACTTACAGCAGCTGTTCCCAAAGTGACCCATTTAAGGTGGAATCAGGTGTCAAACGGGTGTGTTATTGCCCCAACATTATTTTCCATCTTCATCACTATGATACTTCATCTTGTTGACAGGAAGCTTCCCACCGGAGTGCAAATCATCTGTCAGACAGATAGCAAACTATTTAACCTCAGCAGACTGAAAGCCAAAACTAAGGTTACAACAACATCTGTTATAGAACTCCAATATGCTGATGACAACGTCATCTGTGCGCATTCAGAAGAAGACCTACAAGCCACTCCAAACACCTTCACAGAAATATATGAGAAGCTCGGCCTGTCATTGAACATCGAGAAAACCAGTGCTTTTCCAGCAGTGACCAGCCAATCCCTCTCCAATGCCAGAAATACAGCTTAATGGTGTCACATTAGAAAATATTGATCATTTCCGCTATCTTGGCAACCACCTCTCCACAAAAGTCAACATTGACACTGAAATACAACATCACCTGAGCTCTGCGAGTGCAGCTTTTTTCCGAATGAAGCAGAGAGTGTTTGAGGACCGGGACATCCGTAGGGATACCAAGGTGCTTGTTTATAAAGCTATTGTCCTCCCAACCCTGCTATATGCCTACGAGACGTGGACTGTCTATAGACATCACATGCAACTCCGATTCCATCAGTGCTGCCTCCAGAAATCCTGCAAATCTCTTGGGAAGACAAGCAGACAAATGTCAGCATGCTGGAAGAAGCAAAGACCACCAGAATTGAAGCAATGGTCCTCTGCTATCATCAAAGCTGGACCGGCCACGTTGTCCGGATGCCCAACCACCGTCTCCCAAAGCAGTTGCTCTACTCCAAACTCAAGAATGGAAAATGCAGGAAAAGAGATTTAAAGATGGGCTCAAAGCCAACCTTAAAAACGCTGGCATAGACACTGAGAACTGAGAAGCCCTGGCCCTTGAGTGCTCCAGCTGAAGGTCAGCTGTGACCAGCAGTGCTGTAGAATTTGAAGAGGCACGGATGGAGGGCGAAAGAGAGAAATGTGCCAAGAGGAAGGCACGTCAAACCAACCCTGATCGGGACTGCCTTCCACCTGGAAATCAATGCCCTTACTGCGGAAGAAGATGCAGATCAAGAATAGGGCTCCACAGTCACCTACGGACCCACTGCCAGTACACTGATCCTGGAAGAGACTATCCTACTCAGACAATGAGGGATTGCATAAGTAAGTACACTTACACAAATCCTCAAGACAACTGCCCACCTTCATTCTTTTCTTTTCTCTTCCCATATTTCCTACAAACTCCTGCATAGCCACAGGCGCTCCTTCCAGCTCAGACTGAACCATTACTGTGCGCAGAGGAGGGTGGGGAGGAGAGGCAGAACGACTATACTCTGGCTCCTCCTTCGGAGTCTGTACAGTGATATTAGCCAAAACGGGGAAGAAAGAAGGAAACTAAAAACATGGGAAATGCTGGAGGAAAAAGAGGCAGGGGGTGGATAAGAGCGTCGGATAACATGGAAAGTCGGATAAGTGAAGGTTGGATAAGCGAGACTCTACTGTATATTAAAAATGTAGAATTCACACAATTGTACATGCCTTTTATGTTTCTTGTTGTCATTACGTCTTTCCCTTTTCTGTTGTTTCCCTTTATCACATTTTATACTGCAAGCTCCTTGAGACAAAAGATGTATCTGAGCTATAGAATGAATGGCTCGATGCTATGGAATCCTGGGAGTTATGGTTTGGTGAGACACCAGCACCCTTTGGCAGGGAAGGCTAAAGAATTTGCCAAACTACAATTCACATGGGAGATAAAGAAGTGTCAAATAGTATTCATTCTACAGTATAGATCAGTGGTTCTCAACCTGGGGTCCCCAGATGTTTTTGGCCTTCAACTCCCAGAAATCCTAACAGCTGCTAAACTGGCTGGGATTTCTGGGAATTGTAGGCCAAAAACATCTGGCGACTCCAGGTTGAGAACTGCTGGTATAGATGCATCCAGAGACATTTATATTCTGTTAAGGATTTTGTATATTGGCAGAGTTTAAAGTTTGGAAATGACATATCATAAATAATGACTATATCTTTGAAAATAACACATTTGTACTAATACCTCATAATTTTTTGGCAAGGAAGGGCAGTGCCACGTTCCTTTTGAAAATAATACAATATCATAAATATTGACTTGATACTTTTATCTTTACTACCAGTCACACATAACCATATGTTGCTGGTGCATTCCTCTATCCTAAATTTATTCCCAAAATATGTGTGAAGATTAGCTTTTTGTCAGTGAGGGAGGCGATTTAATGGAAAATAAATATTTGAAGTGGTGGGATATCTATTTTCTAGAACAGGGGTCCCCAAACTATGGCCAATGGGCCAGATGCGACCCTCCAAAGTCATCCCCCCGCCCTAATCTTTAGACTTAGGTCACACTAAGTCTGGAATGCCTTGAAGGCAAACAACAACAACCTCATTAACTAACTTGACTATCTCATCAGTCAAAAGTGGACCCACAGTTCCCATTGAAATACTAGTAAGTTTATGTTGGTTAAAACTGTTAAATATTTGTTCTTTCATGACTTTTCTTTAGGCACTACAAATAAGATATGTGCAGTATGCATAGGAATTTGTTCATATTTTCCGTCAAACATGGTCCCCCAACAGTGTGAAGCTGCCCTTTGCTTTAAAAGTTTGAGGAGTCCTGCCCTAGAATTTTATGTCATAGAATCACAGAGTTGGAAGAGACCTTGTGGGCCATCCAGTCCAACCCCCTGCCAAGAAGCAGGAAAATTGCATTCAAAGCACCCCCAACAGATGGCCATCCAACCTCTGTTTAAAGGCCTCCAAAGAAGGAACCTCCACCACATTTTGGGGCAGAGTATTCCACTGCTGAACAGCTCTCAGTCAGGATGTTTTTTTCCAATGTTCAGGTGGAATCTCCTTTCCTGTAGTTTGAAGCCATTGTTCCGCGCCCTAATCTCCAGGCCAGCAGAAAGCAAGCTTGCTCCCTCTTCTCTATGAGTTCCCCTCACATATTTATACATGGCCATCATGTCTCCTCTCAGCCTGCTTTTCTGCAAGCTAAATTTTCTCAACTCTAGACAGCCACTCCTTATAGGGCTTGTTCTCCAGACCCTTGATCATTTTAGTTGCCTTCCTCTGGACACATTCCAGTTTGTCAAACTCTTCCTTCAGTTGAAGTGCCCAGAATTGGACACAGTGTGATTTCAGGTGTGGTCTGATCAAGGCAGAAAACCTTGGATCTAGACACTAGACTTCTATTTTTGCAGGCCAGAATCCCATTGGCTTTTTAAACTGCTGCATGACATTTTTGGCTCATGTTTAACTTGTTGTTCACAAGGACTCCAAGATATTTTTCACACATACTGCTGTCGAGCCAGGTGTACCCCATTCTCTTATCTTTGCATTTCATTTTTTCTGCCTAAGTGGAGTATTTGCATTTGTCACTGTTGCACTTCATTTTGTTAGTTTTGGCCCATCTCTCCAATCTCTTAAGATCATTTTGAATTCTGCTCCAGTTTTCTGGAGTATTAGCTATCCCTCCCAATTTGGTATCACCTGCAAACTTGATGATCATGCCTTCTAATTTATCTCTAGTAGTGCTACCTTTCCCTGATACACACCACATATTTCGCAAAACATGCTGAAATCCTGTTCTTCTTTCTCAGAGGTTTTCCTTTGTTTAATTATTCTTGGCATGCATTTCCTGAATTCAGAAGTAGGGAGACTAATCCTCATACCAGGTATCATGACCTTTTACGACTATATCTCTTTTGGTGGCATAGAATCTGATGGATGCTGAAAGCTGTAGTTTATCAAATTTCAGCTGTCTCTATATGAAAGAGCAATGATTCAGACAGAGGTTGCTGAATTATTGTAGATTTTTTTCAAACCAACAGAATATACACAAGAGGGAGCTGTAGGACCATTTTTCAGTGACCAGAATTGATTTTTCAATCAAAACAAAAGAACTGCTCAGGTTTAACCAGCATGATCCACACTGAACATATGGAGTGAAGGTGAGAGGCAAAGAGTGCATGGATGGGGAAATGTAGAATTGTATTACTAGATTTGTTAGTGGAGGGTAACTATGCAACTGTCTTTGTCACAACATTTTCAGCTTGTATGGTGGGTCTCAAGGATGATGTTAATCATAACATTATTTCCTTACTGGTTCTATAAGAAAACTCCAAGTAATTAAAATCAATTTATTTGCATCAATGAATGATTACATTCAAGAAGGGAAAGATATTTGGCTTCTTCTCTTATGTACAGGAGGAAATGCCTTTAAAAGCTAAGGACACATTTTGCTAGTTTCGAGTAAGAATATATAGAACAATGCAAGGCTCAAGGGGCTCTACAAATAAGTTTTTATGCATGCTTCTAGTCTTTTGTCACCTTGAATACTTAAGAACATAAAATAAATAGAGATGTTCAAGTTTAGCTATTCAAAAGGAGATAAAAATATTTTCAAACAAAATTTTTATTACTGGTGCTTAATTGCTAGGCTCTGCAGGTGCTTTGTGAAAATGTTCATCCACATTTCAGCAGGACTGGTCACCTTTCTAATAATTATCAGTAACCTTTTCTCTTCTTTTTCATTCAGAAAAATCTTCACCAATTTAATGAGACGGAAAATCAAATGAAACCTCTTATGTGCAATTTGACTACAGAATGACCTTAAACTCTGATCCACGGATGGTGTGTTTTTAACATTGGAATGTATTTTATTATGCTTAATTTGCATTAATTTTATTCAATTTATTTTAAGTCGATATTGTATATTTTTAAGGCACTATGTTAGTGCCACTTGTAAGCCGCCTTGAGTCCCCTTAAGGGTAGAGAAAGGTGGGATATACATAAGGTAAATAAGTAAGTAGAGCTCCAGAGTCTAATGTACTTCAGCCCACTTTCTAATCTAATGTGGGTGCATGGAGTTTACCAGTTTCCAAGTCAAACCTTCATTTTTTCTGCTCTCAAGGAGTTAATCTTGGGATTTAAAAGCATTGCCTTCTGTTATAATTTTCCCTCTGTAACCTAGGGTCATTCTTCATCCATTTCATGTATGGCATGCATGACATTTTAATCACAGACTAAATACACTCCTAGCATGCCAGCAGATGACCTA